TACTTTCACATTACCTGTCTTTGTAAGACGGATTTATGTTCTCATGAGTGCAAACCCTTTGTTTTCTTTTTCCCTTTTGGATTGTTCATTTTCTCCTGTTTAAGTTAGAGTAGGTAAGACGCCTGTATATTTATTTTCTCGGTTAGGTAAGATTTTGTGTTTAAAGGTTTGTTTGTTTTCTTTGGTTTTGTTACTCATGTTTGTAAATAATTTTTATTCTCTGACTCGGTGTCCGTGTTCTTGGGAGTGGGGAGTTGGGAGAGTGTACATTTTGTGCTGCGCCTAGGTTCCCCTAGACCTGGGCGTAAGACTATCATATGCACAGTAGCTATATCTCAGTGTCCTCTGACAATGCAACATAGATTTATAAAATATATGAAACAATATAAATAGTGCAAGAAGAAACAGATTAGAAGTAAATAAATGCTTCAAGAGACCAATGTGCAAGGAAAGGGGAAAGAAGTCAACTCTAAACATGTAACATGGATTAAGATGTGCTACAAACTGAATTTAAAATTACTTTTCTTTCCCAGATGAAGGCCTTATTTTAAGATGTTTAATATAATGCTTTTCAAAAGACTTCAGCGGGAACACTTCAATTGAAAGGGCTGAGCTACTGACTCCGTGGAGGTCACATCCCACGGTCATATCTTTAATAAGAGATGAATTGGTCAAACAAAGATTATAATGCATAAAATCCCACATCTTAGCTTTTTTAAGAGTCTCCGGAAAATCTTTACTGAAAAAATAGTGACACTGTGAGCTCTCCGTAGAGGTAACAGGTTTCGATAACAAAAAACACTCTTACGAGGAAAAGGTTAACATAGTATCAAAAGTCAAAAAGATAAAATAAATTGCAAAACCTCGGTTCTTAGGTCTTAGCAGAAAACTTGGACTTCACGCTGGCAGTCAGGCACATGGGACGAAACGAACTGGCAACAAGACAAGGGAGACAGAAACTATATATAGGTAGGCTAAGGGGGAACAGGTGCAGACAATTAGGGCGGAGTCGACAATCACAGTGGAGGGAAAACACACAAAGGGAGGAAGTGAGGTAATCTGCAACAAGAAGGAAAGGTTACTACAAAAATAAAACAGGATACAAGACTGAACTAAAAACATTAACTTAAAAGATTTTACGAGATATAACAAACTGATACTGTTTTCCTCAATGAACATTTAGAGAAAAATAAATATTCAGGGCTCCTCTCCCTCAGGGGCCTCTCCCTCAGGGCCCTCTCCCTCAGGGCCCTCTCCCTCAGGGCCTCTCCCTCAGGGGCTTCTATCTCAGGGGCCTCTCCCTCAGGGCCCTCTCCCTCAGGGCCATCTCCCTCAGGGCCCTCTCCCTCAGGGGCTTCTATCTCAGGAGCCTCTCCCTCAGGGCTCCTCTCCCTCAGGGCTCCTCTCCCTCAGGGCCCTCCCCCTCAGGGTCCTCCCCCTCAGGGCCCTCTCCCTCAGGGCCCTCTCCCTCAGGGAACTCTCCCTCAGGGCCCTCTCCCTCAGGGGCCTCTCCCTCAGGGGCCTCTCCCTCAGGGGCCTCTTCCTGGTCTGTTGACTGTTGGTCAGGCTCATAGTCTGTATCGCTGTTGTCTTCCATTTCTGATACATCGTCCTCTATTGCTGGTTCAATCTCCTCTTCATCTGGTTCAAAACATTTGTCCAGAGCGTCTCTGACAGAAAATCGCCTAATTGGTCGCCTACTCATTGTGTCAATGAGTCAAATGTGAGCAAGGCACAAATATAACTGCATGAGAGCCAGTAATGGAGGGGCATTTAGCGCGAGAAAGCGAGAGGTTCCCGTAACTTAGAGTAAATTGTGTTGTCTGGAAGGTGTGGGGGGACATAAGCATTAGAAGTGTGTGTGTGTGTGTGTGTGTGTGTGTGTGTGTGTGTGTGTGTGTGTGTGTGTGTGTGTGTGTGTGTGTGTGGCCTGGCATTACTATACTTGTGGGGACCGAAATCTGTTTACACAATCACGTGTGGGGACTCGCCTCCCTTATGGGGACAAATTGGAGGTCCCCATAAGGGGAATCATTAATTTTAGGGTGAAGACTTGGTTAGGTTTAGGGTTAGGGTTAGGGTAAGGGTTAGTGTTAGGCATGTGTTGGTTATGGTTAAAGTTAGGGTAAGTTTCCGGAAAATGCATGTAAGTCAAGGTAATGTCCCCTGAAGTGATGTATACATGGTATGTGTGTGTGTGTGTGCATGTGTGTGTGTGTGTGTGTGTGTGTGTGGGTGTGTGTGTGTGTGTGGCCTAGCATTACTATAGTTGTGGGAACCAAAATCTATTTACATAGTCACGTGTGGGGACTCGCCTCCCTTATGGGGACAAAATGGAGGTCCCCATAAGGGGAATCATTAATTTTAGGGTGAATACTTGATTAGGTTTTAGGGTTAGGGTTAGGCATGTGTTGGTTATGGTTAAGGTTAGGATAAGTCTCCAGGAAATGCATGTAAGTCAATGTAATGTCCCCTGAAGTGATGTATGCATGGTGTGTGTGTGTCTGTATGTGTGTGTGTGCAGAGAGTCTGCGGTGGTGTGTGTGTGTGTGTGTGTGTGTGTGTGTGTGTGTGTGTGTGTGCAGGGAGTCTGCAGCGGTGTGTGTGTGTGTGTGTGTGTGTGTGTGTGTGTGTGTGTGTGTGTGTGTGTGTGCAGAGAGTCTGCGGCGGTGTGTGTGTGTGTGTGTGCAGAGTCTGCAGCGGTGTCGCAGAACCCCCCCCGATCCGTCTTTCTTAAACCATGCAAAATATTTGCGTGCAAAAAGCTGAGTTATGATCGGTCATAATAACACAGGATTTGGTGATGATATATTGTGTATATATTAATAATTTAAGATGTGAAATTCATTCCAATTTATTTGTAGTACTACTTTCTTTTTTTATTGTGTCATTTGGTGGCATCAATGTGATACAGATAATGGAGCAGTTGCTTTAGGGCCTCATATATAGTATAGCCCTTAAGGTCAAATCATGAGATCCTCGACCACCCATATGATCTTGTTCTCTTTAAGTTAAGTCTAAGGCTTAGTATTATACATGAAATATACAGCAGGTGAAACATGTATTCAGGCCTCTTTATAGAATAAGGACATGAAAACACTGATGCCAAACTGTATTAAAAAGGTGGACACTGTGACTGTTGCCATGGCAGAGTTATTCAAATAGGAGAGAAATATGGGAAAAATAATATTGCACTATACATATAAATTAAAGTAAACTGAGACACCAACAACACCCATACAATGGCTCCTACAGGGGGTCTTACGCATCTCTGCTTGTCCGGCTAACATCTCTCAGTGGATGCTTGCACACCACCTGAAGCTCAACCCAGACAAGACAGAACTGCTCTTCCTTCCAGGTAAAGACTCTCCCATCCATGATCTCTCCATCAACACCGGCACCTCTGTTGTTTCCCAAACTCACACTGGCAGGAATCTGGATGTGATATTCAATGACCATCTTTCCTTCACTGCTAACATGGCTGCTACTCCGCTCCTACTCAACATAAGGATACGTCTCCTACTGACCCAGAATGCAACACAGGTTCTGGTCCAGGCCCTTGTCCTCTCACATCTTGATTACTAAAACTCTGGGACTCCCTCTTGGTTGGTCTACCTGCAAGCACCATCCAACCTTTACAACTCATTCAAACTGCTGCAGCTCGACTGGTTTTCAACCTCCCTAAGTTATTCCCATGGACACACCACTCCTCCGCTTTCACTGGCTGCCAGTGGCTACCTGAGCCAGGCTGTTGTTCCCTCGTGCTTCAAGGTAACAACCATCAAACCTGTGCTGAAGAAGTCATCACGTTCCTGCTTCAATGACTTCCGCCCCGTAGAGCTGACTTCCACCATCATGAAGTGTTGGTCCTCTGCTCCCCATCCAGGCTTCACCCACTTGGACACTAAAAACTCTTATGTTAGGATGCTGTTCACAGAATTTAGTTCAGCGTTCAACACCATCAATCCCCAGCAGCTGGTTTGTAAACTAACAAACCTGGGCCTCAGCCCCTTCTCTGCAACTGGCTGCTGGACTTCCTCACTGCCAGACCCCAATCTGTACGGGTCGTCAACAACACATCAGGCACCATCACACTCAGTACGGGGGCCCCCCAAGGATGTGTGGTCAGCCCCCTGCTCTTCACCCTGCTGACCCACGACTGCACACCCACCCACAGCTCCAACCACTTAATCAAGTTTGCGTATGACACAACCGTAGTGGGTCTCATCAGCAACAACGATGAGACCCACTACAGGAGGGAGGTGAACCAGCTGGCCACGTAGTGCATATATAACAATCTATTTTTCAATGTGGAGAAAACAAAGGAGATTGTTGACGACATCAGGAGAACCTGCACCCAACACCCCCACCCACTGACCATCGGTGGTGCTGCTGTGGAGCTGGTGAACACAGCTGAACACAGCTGAGAGGATCATCGGTACCTCACTCCCATCACTCCTGGACATTTACAAGACCTGCCTCACCCGCAGAGCACTCAGCATTGTGGGTTACCCCACCCATCCCTCCACCTGCCTCTTCATTGTTGTGCTTTTATTTAGGTTGTAATATGTGCATATGTATAAATGTTTCTTTGATTGTGTATATATAGGTATATACATATTTGCATACATATTTTTATATATATTTGTTTTTGTATTCGGGATTTTGGGAAACGGTATTTTGATCCCTCTGTCTGTACACACAAACTAGAAGATTGACAATAAAGTTGACTTGACTTTATGACTTTGAAGGTGAACTGGTGGTTTAATGTCAACACTGAAAATGGTTCAGAACGATGAGGATGGAGAAGAGGGAGGTTGCTCTAGCAGAACACGGTTTGTAAATGTAAAACATTCATAAGTAAAGCCAGTGGAAGAAAGCACCACATCCTGTTTTTTGGTCGGATCGTTTATTCAGCTTTAGACAGTTAAACAACTAGTTAAAACTTGATAAAAAGGTAAATATGACAAAAATAGTGATATTATAACCATCACCAAAATTCAACCATTACATAAAATATATTTTTAAAAAAGAAGCAAAACGTAATAGATTTGTCTTTTTATATATTTTTTCTCATAAACATATAATAGGACACAACAATTCAAATGAAGATTACAGGTTTCACACTTTGAGAGGATAAATATGCATTATATCAATAACTACTACAACAAGTCCACATCATAAAGTAATTCAGATGTTCACAGAGGCAAATGTATGTTTTAGTGTCGCCCCTTTTTCTCAATTTCAGTTAGTAATCTGTTAGTAATTTAGTTTCTCCCCTCTTCAGGTTGTGATTTCTATATTTGAACTAGAGCCATTCAATAAACCCAGAGAGCAGATACATATTAGAGAAGAATGAGCTTGTTGCAGTAAATATACAAATGGGTTTATATAGCACAGATGAAATGAAACTTTTCATTGTCAGCCTTTTTGTACCACTTTCCATCTCTCTCCATGACTGCAGCCATGCCACACTCAGCCTCTTCGTCTGGGGCCCAGTTGTGATAGCAGACCAGACGATCAATGACCCAGAACCACAGGTCCAGAGTGCAGGTGTAGCGCATTCCCAGCCAGACGGGAGTGTCGGCCATCTTGGCTCTCTTTTCGACCCATCTCTGCTGGTGACGGTCAGTGATGGAGACCAGGTCATGGTGCTTCTCTCTGCAGTAAGTCAGGGCCTCATCCCAAGTCTTACTCTCATTGATCAGGATCACTTTATCTGTAATTGACATTTGTTTAGTTAGGGTAACCATTTATTGCAAAACAACTCTCAACATCAATAATATAGCACCTTTCATATAAGGATCATTTGGTTAAAAATAAAAAATAGAGTTGCTTAAGTTAAAGAGATACAAAATACAATGAAAACCAATGACAAGGAAAAATAAGCCAGAAATGATGCGGCACCTTATGTTAAAGCCAGGTTTAAATATACATAATAATAATATGATTTCTATAAGAATAAAAACATTATCCAGATCTCTAATTAGGTGTATCTTATACATATTTTCTCCACAAAAGGATACTCAACATACATGTATAAATATTTAACAAAAAACATGAAGCAAAAAAACATTCAAAGACTTTTCCAAAACTCACCGTCATAGCAGTAGAAGGGTTTTTCCTTTGTGCAGGTGTCGGAGCTCCATTTTCCATTTGGCGTAGTCGTAGCACAAGTCTTTTTGTCTTCATCTTCAAATGAGTCCGGATCCCAGTGTCTGAAAGAGACATTCTTCCCATCTGACCAACTCCAGGTGTCTCTGAACAGGCCGATCCACAAGTTAGAAGAGACATCCTGTTTCTGAACCCAATCCTTGAATTCTGTTGAATTGATGTGTGTGATTCCACTGATCAGGTCAGTGTGATGTTCTCTGCAGTAGCTCTGAGCCTGAAGCCAGTTCTTCTCACAAGGACTCAAATGGTATGTCTGTGGCACTGTTGCTGTGAGAATGAAAAGACACATTTTACAAGTTTCAAAAACATTTTTTTCTTACTTAAATCATGTTAAAATAATACGAACACGATCTAAGTTTCAGCTTGACGACAGTTTGGTATAATAATGTATATTGCATATTCAAAAAACATGCCATGCTTTACCATTACAATGTATTTAAACAAGTAGAATTGTATTATCAAAGTTACCAATAATGTTATGTTTAATGTGAAAATCAAAAATATTTTTCAATTTAATGTAACTACAGTGTACCGCATGAGTAATCTGTCAACTATTGTTACACAGTACGATATGATTTATATAGCGTTAATAGTGACATATACTCACCATTGTAGCAGATAAACTTAAAGCTTTCAGAACAAGGGACATCGTGCCATTTTTTTGAGGGCCAAATCACCACACAGTTCTCAGGATTGTTACCATCATTGTTCGGCTGCTTTAGACCCCATTCTGTTTCACATCCTGGTTCACATTCAGTAGGATAGTACTTCTCCCCCGGCAGAGACCAGTGCCACTCTTTGATACTTTTTTCATTGATGCTCCTCAGTCCAATCCAGGCATCTGTAGTCTGTGAAGAGTTAGTCAGTCTCTCCACGTCTCTCATGTCAGACACTGTGGCCAGGTCAGTGAAGTTCTCTCTGCAGTAACTCCGGGCTTCCTCCCAGGTCTTTCCCTCAGGAATGAAGTGGTACTCATAGAGGTGACATGTGGAGAAGGAACACTGACCTAAAAACAGAGAGAATTCTGCAGTGATGGAGCTGACAGTATGACAAGCATCTGATCATTAAATCAAACTCATGAGTACTAGAATCACCCCCACCTCTTACACCATCCCCTTCATCTGAACGGGGGTCTGAGTTCACTTATTCCACTTTGTATTGTTATGAGCAGTTTCATGACTCCAGATGTGATTTAATTTAGAATCCACTTACCCATCAGAAGGAGCACGAACAGACTCCACTGCATCTTTGCTCTGTTAGAGGAAACCAATATTGTTATTGATCATTTATAAATCTCATAAATTATGTCAGTTACATTTAAATTATTTTGAGCACCTAATGTTTCAGTTAAATTGACACAAACACAGACTGCACCACTCGCTTCAGTGCAGTAGTTTAATGAAGATGTAAATGCAGAGAAAAGGCACATTTCGAGCAACCCCAGCAGTAACATACGGAGCCCCTAAAGGACATGAACAAATAAATAAAAAGAGAGAGAAAAAAGTCGGGACCACGCATAGGTATCTCGTTATCCCGACTTTTTGTTTTCTTGTGTCCCTTTAGTCGCAGGGGTCGGCAATAGGCGGCCCGCGGGCCATTGTTGGCCCGCCAGCAATAATATTTGGCCCGTAATTTTGAGAATCAAAAATAAAATAAAAAATGTTCTCTTTTTTTTAACAACATAGGACCGAGAGTCGCACATCAGGGTTTCCGTTAGCCGGTAATCACCGGTTTTTATCTGGTAAAATACATTAAAACCCGGTAAATTCAAAACCTGCTGGTCAAAATGTCTGGTAATAATTAGGGATGCTCCGATCGATCGGCCGCCGGTCATTATCGGCCGATATTCACTCTTAATAGTTTGATCGGTGCTCTCTATAAAGGCCGATCAGGAGAGCTGGATCTGATCGATATGGACATAAACGCGAGTGAAGTATAACCGGACCCGAGAGAGAGATCAGACCAGCTGCTGCATAATCACCTGAATCCCCGCCCACTGTTTAGTGAGCTGCATGAGAAACTGACGGGCTGTCAGGAGAGAGAGAGAGAGAGAGAGAGAGAGAGAGAGAGAGAGAGAGAGAGAGAGAGAGAGAGAGAGAGAGAGAGAGAGAGAGAGAGAGAGAGAGAGAGAGAGAGAGAGAGAGAGAGAGAGAGAGAGAGAGAGAGAGAGAGAGAGAGAGAGAGAGAGGATCCGTTTCTCCCGTGTTATTATTCAAAGTTAATGTAAACTTTTGAATAATGTACTTCATCTACTACAAGTAGTTTGTTTGAATGTAATAATTATGTTGTTTGTTGTTTGTGGAATCATTTATTGAAAAATGAATCTGAACTTTTCGATCTGTAACGATTATAAACTGAAGCAATATAAAAATGACTCCAATTAACTGAGTTTTAAACATCAGCATATCCGGTCATAGTCCGGTGATTACCTGCTAACGTAAACTCTGCTACACCATTCTTATTATTATTATTATTATTGAAACATGACCGGTACGTTTCAAATTTGTCCGGTAAAATAAATTCTGTCCCGACATATCCGCTTACATTCATAATGTCAGCGGAGGGAGGGGAAGTGGCGCTGTGGAAGAGCAGAGTGGCGAGGGAGAGCTGTTTACAAGCTTCAAACATGTATTTATCGTGTGATTTTGGAAATAAAAGTTCCATATTCTGAAAGCCAAGACTTTGTTTATTTAAAATCAAACAAAACACCCGATCCCCGAAAAACTATTTGTTTACGCAAATCCACGTTTATTTTGAAATGAGCCGTTGCGACTTCCGACGGATTTCGATAGAGCGGGTCACATATGGCAAATGTGTGGTTGTGGGGAACCAGGTCAATTAAAGTACTTATTTAACTATTAAATACATTGAGTTTGAGTAAAATACTTGGTTACTGATTAATGTAGGTTATAATATATTAAATTGCAAAGCAAAACATGCTGTAATTGATTTATTTTGACCTTTGATATTTTTTAAAGGTTTTCAACCTGAAAGAATCCTAATGTGTCCTTGAAAAGTTGAAATAAAGATTAAGGAAAAAGGATTTGAGTAGTCCATGCGTCCTCTGTCGCCCCTCACTCAAATAAATGCCAAAAACCCAGAGAACTTGACAATACTTATCAGAATAAAAGTATGTTAAATAACACTGCTACCTAGTTAATAACTTTACTCAGTGGAGGCTCTTCCATTGGGAAAGGGAGGACCATCTTCCCTAACATTTCAGAGAAAAATTTACTTTGAAGAGAACAATAAATACACCTCAATTTAAAAGATAAGTCTGTTAAAATACAGATAATAGCCCTGGCTTTGGGACTGAAATGGGGCTAGAGAGGACGAGCCTCCCTTTGGGCGGGTCTAGCCAGAGGCTCTGGATTGGGCGCCTATATCATCAGTGAACCAATCAGCGGATCTGACTGCGCATCAGAGCAGAGATGTTCACAAGTCTTTTTTTGCAAGTCCAAGTCAAGTCTCAAGTCTTTGGTCACGAGTCCAAGTCAAGTCTCAAGTCTTTGTGGGGTGAGACCAGAGTTGGGTGTAACGCGTCCCAAAGTAACGCGTTACTGTAATAATACTACTTATGTCGGTAACGGAGCAGTGCAACGCGTTACTTTTATAATTCAGTTATCACACTACAGTTACTAACATTGCCCCGACACGCGTTACTTCGTTACTTTTATAAAATAATCACACTCACTGACAGACTAGAGGGGTTTCCGCCGCAGGTTTATATACATGTAGGCCTATGTAATCTGCGCGACTTGCGAGACCACATCTCCACGTGCAGTGCTGCATAAACATGGCTGAGTCTTCTCATCTGTAAACTCCCTCAACGCGCCGCTCGCTCTCTTCTCTTGATCGCCCTCTCACGGGTGAACAGTTCAATGTCCCGCTTCATTGTAGGAATTCTGCCATGTCTCTACCACTTTAGTTTGACCATCTCTGTTACTAAGTTATGGAATACTAAATACATAAGTCATTAGATGCCTTACCGTTACTGCGCTCATAAAGAATGATAAGAATAATGCGTCTTGAACTGGTTTCATTAATTAGTGTCTTGACGTTTCACAGACTGTTAGCTTGTTGTGTGGCTGGTAGCCTATTTGAGAGCATATAAAAAGAAAGACTTGTGTTATGTCTTCCTTAATGCAATAGTAATTGGGGGTGCAAGTGGAGTCTCGCAGAGGCAAAACTGTGGCGCGCACACTGTAGGTGCGCCGCAGTCTGCGTGATCTGCCTGTAGGGAGGGGCGGGCCGGCCCTGCGAGTAAAGTAACGATTAAAGTAACGAGTAAAGTAACGAGTAAAGTAACGAGTTACTTTATGTAGAGAGTAACGAAGTAGTGTAATATATTACTTGTTTTTAAAGTAATATGTAATATGTAATATATTACTTTTTTTTAGTAACGACCCCATCTCTGGGTGAGACTTGATCAAGTCTCAAGTCTTTGGTCACGAGTCCAAGTCAAGTCTCAAGTCTTTGTGGGGTGAGACTTGATCAAGTCTCAAGTCTTTGGTCACGAGTCCAAGTCAAGTCTCAAGTCTCTAAAAAATAAAAGTCTCATGTCTCTTCTGTTTGTAATAAGCCTTCTATTGTCTGCTGCTATCCAGTCTGTTAAGAATACTGCACAGCTATATCTAAGACATTCAAAGCATTTACTGTATTATTATCACTCCTATATCTATTAGCATACAGTATCCGTACTGATTACTTGTTTGTTATATGATCACTTTAAACAGGCTATTGCAATGCAATATGAGGACAAACATCACAGTTTAGCTAAATGCAAACAACTTGTAAGCAAAACACTTCAGAATCAAAAATCAGTATCACAAATACTTTATTAATCCCCCGCAGGGAAACTGTGTTAAAAGTACTTCAAAGTAAACATTTGTTCTGTGCCATTTGCAACTAAAAAACTATTGCTGCAATATTATCTGAAATATACTGAACTGGTGATATTAAAACATGACCTGTTCCAAAAGAGATATCTACCATTAACACCATTTACCAGCCAAATGCTGGTAAATCATGCAAGTGGCTGGTGCTGTATGTTGCACGTACCAGCCAAACATAACAATGGCAATCTATTGAGTGGCTGGTAACATTTCAACATTCACTAGGCTAGCCATTTGGCCAGTGGACAAAAATGTTAAAATGTGACCTCTGCAACCGTATTGTTTAATTATACTGGGTCTCTAATTACATCTTTTAAGTCTACTATAAATAAACATATTCCTCTATCCTCTCACTCAAACCCAGTGTAATGGTAACCTGATAAACCTGTAACATTAACGTTACGTGGTCAACAATAAACCTGTAACCTGCCTATAAACCGACAGATGTATTTATGTATGTAACTATGTATTTTTCTACGTTTAACGTTAGCCAGTAGATGGTGGCAGCGGAACGTAATGATTAACGTTACCGACCTTTTTTATGTCATGTCAAGAGTTGGATGTCAACGCCACTCAACGCAAACAAGTGTGACAAGCAAACATTCACTCATCTTTTCAAATATTCAGTTACAAAGCTAGTAGCAAGCTAAGTTAACATTACATAGCTGATGCTGAGCTAAACATGTTTGCTAACCGTCCATATGCGTTAATGTGACTGACCTCTCCGGGTGAGTTTTCAAGTGCCTGATGAAATTTGACGTTGTTGCACCAGCATCCTTGATTTTAATATTGCAGACTTTGCAGTGTGCGCTCATTTTGTTGGTGCCGCCGGCGTTTTGTTCGAAGTTTTTATAGTTGAACCTAATTACAAGCGGTACAGCTGCAGGTGTGCCGCCGGTCGCCATGGTGTTACCATGATGTTAATGTTAATGTTAAAGGTGGGGTAGGTACGTTTGAGAAACCGGCTCGAGATACACTTTTTGTTATATTCCATGGAATGCTCTTAACATCCCGATAGCCGGCCCGGCTAAAGTAACTGGATGGCCTACCTGCCTGTCAGCCTCCCATCGGGGCACAAACGTATCTCGTGCCCTCATTGGTCATGTGCGCGTTCGTGTGTGTTGGAGGAGGGGCTCTGTGAGGAAGTGGCAGCAGTGTTGCCAACTTGGCGATTTTCTCGTTAAATTTGGCGGATTTCCAAACCCTCCGGCGACTTATTTGTGTCAAAAGCGACTAACGACTAATCTAGCGATTTATAATGGTGTTATTAGCGACTTTTCTGGTGTTTGGAGACTCACATTGTTCTGCAGTTAACGAGCCGCGGGTGCTGCCGTGAGCCCCGCCTCCCTCCCATAGTACTCACAGGCGCTCAGGAGACAACCACACTTCCCCGCGTCGAGACTGCAAATGAATTGCGCATGCGCCAACTGCCAAGCCGTCCTGGTTTTGAGCGGGATTTAAATGTTGAATGTAAATGTTTCTTCACTCACTTTCACACTATAATAAATAACTGCCTTTGCTTTGCTTTGCCTCACACAGCCTCAGTCACTCAATCACCTCGTCCACTGTGTGTGTGCCTCTCTGTGACAAGCTAAACATCATGGCACAGTCTAAATTGTATTCTCAAAAATACAGAAAGGAGTGGGAATCAAACCCTGAGTATAAAGGATGGTTGAAGCCATTTATTGGAGATGACACACGGGCATACTGCCTTTATTGTAAGGGGGATTTCTATGCCAAACTGTCATGTTAAAACCCCAAAACATACTCAAAAGGCAAAGACATTTCTGATCTACTGTCGTCTGGATTTAACTCCGGTGGTTTCAAGTTTTGATCCTTGAAGGGTTGGGAACGTTTTTTTTCTACAGCCGCCATTACATGATGTGCAAATTAGGCGATGACGTCATTTAGCGACTTCTGGCGACTTTTCGGACAGCCAATAGCTACTTTCCTTACTATGGAGTTGGCAACACTGAGTGGCAGATTTTCTCCGGTTGTGTATTTTCAAATTCTAGCAATCTCGAGCCGGTTTCTCAAACTTACCTACCCCACCTTTAATACGCCAAAAATAGAAAACACAATGATTAGGGGTGTAACGGTTCACAGACGTCACGGTTCGGTTCATACCTCGGTTTGGGGGTCACGGTTCGGTACGGGTTCGGTACAACAAGGAAAAGCAAAAAAAAATCCCAAATACAGTAGTGCAAGTTTTGGTATGAAAATAAGGAACTCTAACATTTGGAATCATTAACTGTATTACACAGTTAAAAACAAACCACAAACAGTAACACACACACTCAGATGGCCATATTATTTATAATGGCTGATGTCAAACAAAAAGGTTAAATAAGCTGTACAACTAAAAAGAATGTCTTGAAAATATTTAAATAAATAATAAGAAAGTGTTTCAATCACTATCAATAAAAGGCAATACAGAACTGTATAACATCTCCTGATGTCAAAATATAAAATAAATACAATGATAAATATAAAACAAAATTAAATCTGTACCTTTAGGAGCAATGTCTAACATGTGTAATTCACTTGTGAGTGTGTGAGGCCATTATGCCTAAATAAAGGTACTCAAGCTTTACTCTATTTTCAAGTTGTTCTTCAAAAAGATTTGTCTACGTTGTCAGTAGTGATGGCAGATCTGTTGGCGGTAACTATTTCACCTGCCGTCGAGAAAACCCTCTCGCTGGGGACTGAGACTGACTCGGATGTGATTGAGCATGTTTGACGTGTTACCACTATCATACCGCACCACTGTCGAACAACGCCGACACACCGTCCTCGTCCGATCCACAACTCGCACCCCATCATTGTTGTAGTCCACAGGGAACCCACAATGTTCCCACACAGCTGATTTAAAAGAAGCAGGTGGGTCTTCTAGCTCCTGTGTGTTGTGTGAACTCGCCATAGCTACTAACTTTTCTTCTTCATGTATTGTGTTCGTTTTGTTGTGTTTTGTTCTTGTTCTTCATTTGTTATTTACGGCCGGCTGGCTTTTAGGCGCAATACCGCCCCCTGGATTATATATAGTGTAATACTGCCCTGAGTGACAGACTTTTTTCCAACTCGTAAAAAAAGGCGTATTCGCCGTGTGACTGCATGTGCCGAACCGTGACGTCTGAACCGTGACGGTACGGGACGAATACGGATACCGTTACACCCCTAACAATGATTGTTCACGAGTCCCAAAACACGAGTCCGAAGTCTTTTGAGCAGGAGTCCAAGTCAAGTCTGAAGTCTCTGTGTGTGCGACTTAAGTGCGACTCGAGTCCCCATCTCTGCATCAGAGTGTTGATGGGGAGGGTTATCAGCGATATCAGAGTTTTTTCTGAACCGGGGAACAGGGGCGCTGCGCCCTCTTACCAAAATCAATTCCTTGAATTAGGCTTTGATTATGTTCTGGCCCGCCATCTTGTGGCTCAGCAAAAAATTGGCCCAAGGCCAAACTTACTTGCCTACCCCTGCTTTAGGGCATGGGTCAGCAAAAGGCGACCAACATTTTTTACAATATCGAACCGACAGTCGCACATATAGGCTATAATGTCCGACTAGAGAATCTACCTACACCTGAAGAATGCTTATTTTTACTTGTATCCATGTTGAGAGGGAATGACACACAGCACAGGCACAATCTGGCTGCGAGGTGCACTGACGCTGACAGCGGATCAATAAGTAAGTGGACAGCGCGTGGTGCTGAAATAGCCAACATGCGGTTTGAAAAAAATAACACCAGCTCACTAAATCATTCAAACGTAATGTTTGCTTATATGCAGGGCCGTCCCTCACTACAGGCCGATCATGCAGGCTGCATGGGGCCTCACATTGCGCAGAGGGCCTCGGCTTATGAGCTCGGCTTGGGCGCAGTTCTCAGCGCAGTTCACTAGCACACCACCTGAAGCTCAACCCCCCCCCCCCCCCCCCCCCCCCCCAAGCATTCAAACGTGATTTAACAATCAATTACTTAAATAAGCCTTTGATTATGTTCCGGCCCGCCATCTAGAGGAAAAATATTGGCCCAAGGCCAATATTACTTGCCGACCCCTGCTTTAGGGGCTCCGTAATGCACCAAAGGCACACACCGTAAAATGTATTTTTAGCAAATGAAAAGGTCTTATTTGAATGAAACATTCAAACACCAGTTAGAAACTAAACAATAACAGTATAGTGCCGTACAACAACACTGACTTGTTACATTTTTTTATCAAAGCCATTATATTTTTCTGGTTCCATATTTTTTTATTCACATGTAGCCTACTATCAGAAACATACACTATGTTTTAGGTGCTGGAGAGACTTTATGGGTTCTTTAACCGGAACGGAGAAGTAAACTGAAAATAAGGCTTGATTAAATTGTGTATCGTTGCTTTTATAAACCCGATTTAAAGATATCTAATCATTTCTTTATTATAGTTAAACTAACCCTAATGAAAATTACATTGTGTTTATTTGAAGTGAGAGGGAGATTGCTGTGTAAACACATCGTCTCCAATAAAACATTTAAGATTTACCACCGTTTTTTAAAGCAGGAAAATAGTGGGATTTACAGCCCTGAGTAATGTCTACGGGACAGGCTGCATACATCGCCCACAAAGCTCTAAAAACCTAACATGAGCCTGAAAGGTAACACTCAGGGCAAAAACATGTCCACTAGACTCAGACTGTTTAGTTTTCATTATAAATGTCCAGCGTTCTTGGTAAAAAAAAAGTTTCAAAGTGAACATTAGATACATTTTATGATTCAAAATGAAACATTGAGATTTTAATACAAATACATAAAATAGTCCAAGTGATTTCAAGAAAAACAAATGATTTAAGGGAATAAATGAACATAAAAGGGTTTTAGATTTCATTGCTTCTGATTGAGATGAGATTCATTAAATGTTCCTTCCCTTTGGAAAATATTCTGAAGGAGAATATCTTTCTCAAAAATAAACAAAATATGAAAGTGACTGAACAGAATCACACTTACTTCTCCTGAGTCGTCCTGTCAGCTGCTTCTCTCTGTCTCTCTCGATGTGCTGGTGAAGACTCAGATATCCACGAGGTCGCTGCTCTCTTTGAGCCACCTTTGGGGAAACATTTGAATATTAAAATCCAGATGTCAAAGAGGTTGGATATAGGATCCATTGATGGAAAGAATATAATTTACATGTAACAGGGAAAAAAGTTGAACACACTTCCTTGTTGACTGTCTGACACACGGAAAGAAAGGTACCGTTCCAAAATATGCACTAATGATAACTATTGAATGTTTATATTTTTATATTTTTGTTAGGATATTGCTTGTTAACATATGTCAAACAGCTTTAAGAGAACATTCTGGCTGTGTTTGAGCCCCTCATATTACAAGTTTGTCAATATTATTTTAATTTCAGTCACATAGTTTATTTATTCTGAAACACAAGTCAAAAACATTATCTCTTCGTTGTCTCTATTCTCATGAGTCTGTCCATCCAGCTGTTTCTGTCACGATCTGCCTGTATTGTATTTTGTCTTGTCTTGTTTCATGTTTCATGTTTTATGTTGAAAGGTCTTCACTTCCTGTCTTGCCTGTTTCTGTCTGCGTTGTGTCTTGTTTAAATCTGTCTGTGGTTCCCGGTCGTTAGTTTCCCTGGTGTGTCTAATTTACCTGATTGTGTTCACCTGGTGTCCCTGTGTTTTCTCCTCCCTCCTCACCTGTGTCTTGTTTCTGTGATTAGTCTTGTGTGTATTTAAGTTCTGGTTTTTCTGTCTGTCTTTGTCGGTTGGTCTTGTGTAATGACTTGGTCTGCGGTGAGTGTTCTGTGCTGTCTTTGTGTATATCTAGCCTTGACATAAAGGAATTATTTGTTACTCTAATCTGCATTTGGGTCCTGCTTCCTGCACACCGTAACATTACGAACCGACCACAAAATGGATCCAGCAGATGATCCATGGGAGGTTGAATTACAGCATTTAACCTTCTATCTGGCTTGCTGCTTCGATTGGTGGAAGGGAGCGTCCAGTATTCGGCAGAAGAGGGCCGCTCTGGTAGAGGCGCTCCGGTTGGCAGCAGAGAAACCATGTTTTGTTGAGTTCTTACCTGACTGGATTTTGGACTTCCTTCAAGCATGTGATTCCCGGCCTGCTAGCCCCAGGCATGCTAGCTCCCTGTCTCCCAATTCCCAACCTGGCACCATACGCCTTGGTGGGTTCCGCCTGAAATCAACCCGTGCTTCTGCCCCAGTTCCTGCTGCTGTCCAGGAGTCGTATTCCGGAACTCGTCTGGCTTATGGAGGTCCACGGAGTATTCAGGCGGCTGCTAAGAGGAGTCGTCGCAAGGCCAGGCTAGCAGCCTGAGTCCCAGCAGCCATGGTTCCGGCTCCAGTGCCGGACCCAGCAGCCATGCCTCCATGCTCCAGTACCGGCCCACGCAGCTTTGCGTCCATACTGGCTTACACAGCCAGGGTCCAGGCTTCCGCGCCGGACCCAGCAGCCTTGATTCTGGCTTCAATTCCGGCTCCAGAACCGGACCTTACAGCCATGTTTCCGGCTCCAGAACCGGACCTTACAGCCATGTTTCCGGCTCCAGAACCGGACCTTACAGCCATGATTCTGGCTTCAATTCCGGGCCCCGCAGCCATGGTTCCGGCCCCAGCAGCCATGGTTCCGGCTTCAGTACCGGCCCCGGAAGCCATGGGCTCGACTCCAGTTTCGGCTACAGGGCTGGCTCCCCAGCCGACGCCAGCTCCCCGAGTCTTGTCGGCGTACCGGCCGACTCCAGCACCTCGTCTCCTGCTGGCTCCCCAGCCGACGCCAGCTCCCCGAGTCTTGTCGGCGTACCGGCGGACTCCAGCACCTCGTCTCCTGCTGGCTCCCCAGCCGACGCCAGCTCCCCGAGTCTTGTCGGCGTACCGACCGACTCCAGCACCTCGTCTCCTGCTGGCTCCCCAGACGACGCCAGCTCCCCGTGTCCTGTCGGCGTACCGACCGACTCATGTCCCCTCTCCAGTTCCCTCTCAAGTCCCCTCTCGGGTCCCCTCTCGGGTTCCCTCTCGGGTCCCCTCTCGAGTCCCCTCTCAAATCCCTTCTCGAGTCCCCTCTCAAGTCTCCTCTCCAGTTCCCTCTCAGGTCCCCTCTCGAGTCCCCTCTCTAGTCACCTCTCAAGTTCCTACCAGAGTCCCCTCTCGAGTCCCCTCTCGAGTTCCCTCCTCTAGTCCCTCCTCTAGTCCCTCCTTTAGTCCCTGCTCTAGTCCCTCCTCGAGTCCCTGCTCTAGTTCCCCTCGCGAGTCCCCTCTCGAGTTCCCTTCTCTAGTTCCTCCTCTAGTTCCCCTCTCGAGTCTCCTCTCGAGTCCCCTCTCGAGTTCCCCCTTGGTTCTCCTCTCGAGTCTCCTCTCGAGTCCCCTCTCGAGTCACGTCTCGAGTTCTCCCTTGGTTCCCCTCTCGAGTCTCCTCTCGAGTCACGTCTCAAGTCCCTACCCAATGTCCTGGTCCGTTGGAGGTTCCGCTGGGGGTCCTGCCAACTCCATGTCCTGTCCCGTTGGAGGCCCCGTCGACTACTCCTCTGCCGAGGGTCCTACCAATCGTATGTCTGTCCCGTTGGAGCTCCCGCCGTCTACTCTCCTGCCGGGGGTCCTGCCAACCCTTTGTCCTGTCCCCTTGGAGGTCCCGCCGTCTACTCTCCTGCCGGGGGTCCTGCCAGTTCCTTGTCCTGTCTCGTTGGAGGTCCCGCCGACTACTCTCCTGCCGGGGGTCCTGCCAACCCTTTGTCCTGTCTCGTTGGAGGTCCCGCCGTCTACTCTCCTGCCGGGGGTCCTGCCAGTTCCTTGTCCTGTCTCGTTGGAGGTCCCGCCGACTACTCTCCTGCCGGGGGTCCTGCCAACCCTTTGTCCTGTGCCGTTGGAGGCCCCGCCGACTACTCTCCTGCCGGGGGTCCTGCCAACCCTTTGTCCTGTCCCCTTGGAGGTCCCGCCGTCTACTCTCCTGCCGGGGGTCCTGCCAACCCTTTGTCCTGTCTCGTTGGAGGTCCCGCCGTCTACTCTCCTGCCGGGGGTCCTGCAAATCCCGTGTCCTGGTCCTCTTCCGTGGGGGATCCTGCCGAGGCCTGTCCCACCAGCTCCGACACCGGGTCCTGCCTGGTCTCCGGCACTGTCCCGTCAGCGCCTTCCTGCCCGGCCTCCGGAGCTCTCTGGTCTTCGCCCTCGAGCCCGGGCCCCTGAGAGCCGCGGTCTTCGCCCTCGATCCCGGCCCTCTGTGAGCCGTGGTCTTCGCCCTCGATCCCGGCCCCCTGAGAGCCGCGGTCTTCGCCCTCGATCCCGGCCCTCTGTGAGCCGTGGTCTTCGCCCGCGATCCCGGCCCCCTGACTCTTCCTGCCGCTGCCTTCGCCCTCATGCTCGGCCGCCCGAGTCCCCCACCTTAGACTCTGCCTTGCCCCCAGGCCGTCCGCCCGAATCCCCCTTTTTGAACTCTGCCTGGCCCCCGGGCCGTCCGCCTGAGAACCCCTCCTTGAACTCTGCCTTGCCCCCGGGCCGTCTGCCCGAGATCCCTTCATGGTCCTCTGCTGTGCTCCTGGGTTGTCAGCCCAGACCCGTCCTCCGGACCCCCTCCACCCACCCTGGTGGCCCTAGTTTTGTGTCCCTCCTCCGGTCCCCCTCCACCCACCCTGCTGGACATTGTTTTTTTTGGTGTTTTAGGGACGTCTGGAATCCGTCCCTTGAGGGGGGGGTACTGTCACGATCTGCCTGTATTGTATTTTGTCTTGTCTTGTTTCATGTTTTATGTTGAAAGGTCTTCACTTCCTGTCTTGCCTGTTTCTGTCTGCGTTGTGTCTTGTTTAAATCTGTCTGTGGTTCCCGGTCGTTAGTTTCCCTGGTGTGTCTAATTTACCCGATTGTGTTCACCTGGTGTCCCTGTGTTTTCTCCTCCCTCCTCACCTGTGTCTTGTTTCTGTGATTAGTCTTGTGTGTATTTAAGTTCTGGTTTTTCTGTCGGTCTTTGTCGGTTCGTCTTGTGTAATGACTTGGTCTGCGGTGAGTGTTCTGTTCTGTCTTTGTGTATATCTAGCCTTGAAATAAAGGAATTATTTTTACTCTAATCTGCATTTGGGTCCTGCTTCCTGCACACCGTAACAGTTTCATTCCTGTGAATGCTATATCTCAGGAGAACGTGAGGAATTCATTCAAGTCTTGCGCAATCTTCCACTTGGACTCAAGGAAGAACCAATTTCTGTCACATGTTTGACCTTTGATTGTGGTCAAGAGGCCAAAAGTCTCTGAGACCTCACAAAACACGATGTTTTGGCCGTAACAAGAATTAATATGTTAACTATGACAAAGTCGCTCAACTTTTTCTCAAAATGTCTCAAAACAAAGAACCAAGTGTAAGCCACTGTGGGACACCAAAACACATTTTTAAACAACTTGATATGGAACGATTGGAAACTATTGCCTGAATTCTAACAGAAAGATAGTGATAACAACCACTTATCAAATTAAACTTATTTAAATGGTAATTATAAAGCTACACAGATCATGTTTCAAGTAAAATATTAAATATAAATATACATAATACAGTAGGGATTACAGACTGATCCAGCAGGCCATGTACAGAGCACTGGGGCAGTCGCTGTGTGGCACAGGAAGGCTCCCGGGATATTAACATCACATTTACATGAACATATCCAAACAGCACAACTAGAACAAAGACTGCTCTTGACTTAGGAGGAAACATATCCCACATTTCTCTCTATTTGAATAACTCTGCCATGGCAACAGTCACAGTGTCCACCTTTGTAATACAGTTTGGCATCAGTGTTTTCATGTCCTTATTCTAGAAAGAGGCCTGAATACGTGTTTCACCTGCTGTACATTTCTGATACAAAGCCTTAGACTTAACTTAAAGAGAACAAGATCAAAATAACTCACAACTTCCTTCCTGTGTTCTCTTGACACTTAAAAGCAGCCCAACTGTTAAATGAATATTCACACCAACGTAGTGGTTTGAGATCTCCCAAAAAGTAAAAGTATGAGCAAATGCTAATGCAAGGTTTGGTCCATTAGTTCAAAGGAAGAGAAATCCTACCGCATACGATAACACTTGAATTAGAATG